CTCCTCCTCCTGCTCCTGCTGCTCCTGCTGCTGCTGCTGCTGCTCACTCGTGGGTTGGCGCTGAGCTTCTTAGGAAATAAGCCTTACTCGGGGTGTTGCAGCCTTTTCCTTGAATCGGCGGATTCCGATGGTGGTTTCACTTTACTTTCCCGGCGACCCAGGCTTTGGGTTAGGCTTAGAGCTTCAGATTAACGGCTGGCCTCGCGACGGTTAGTGCCAGACCTCCTCTGGGACTGCTGCTGTGTGAAGGATTGAGACGTGAGGCCCTAGAGCAAGTTCTTGCTACAATCCGTATCACAAGCATAGCCAAGACCCGCCTGTCCTGTGAGCTTGGTTTCAGCTTTCAGCTAAGTTGGAGTACAGCAGTATAATTTTCACGGTTTTTCTTACTAGATGACTGGAGTGTGTCCTCGTTGTGCATAGTACCGCAGAAGTCAAGTTGTTGCTTGAAGCACCAGGTGACGGTGGAAAGGGCGAACAAGTTGCGCGATGCAGATTGGGCTCCGGGTGGGGGATCTTCGGACCCCTATTGTGCCGCCCGGCACATTTTTTCCAGGTTTAGGGCTCAGGGTTTAGGGTTTAGGGTTTAGGGTGTAGGGTTTATAGGGTCTAGGGAATCGGTTGCACAGGTGGCTCGGTCCAACATGCTGCATGGACAAGCATGGTAAGGGCATTGAGAAAGCAGAGTTTCGCATGAAAAGAGGAAGTGGGACACAGGATAGGGGGCTACATCTTAACGATTCGAGGCTCAATTCTCAGAGTGTGCAGGTCCGTCAATGGCCCACGGGCCGAACGAGTGACAAAAAGGATGCGGTCCAAACGGGAGGCATGTAATGAGTGCTTTGGTCGGGCCCGGCACACGAGCTGGCCGGAGACATCATGTTCACTGGTATTGGATTGAAGGAGATTCCTCCCGTCTGTCTTTGCAGACATACCGAAATCCTAAATCCGAAACCCTTGACTTGCCGAGAAGCTCTGTGAACATCGAAAATTATATGAGACATTTCAGTCGTCGCGTTTCGGCGGGAAGTTTCTTGGCATCCAGCTTCTCGCGTTCTCAGGTCGTGGCGGTGCGGGGCAAGGGCAGCTTGGACAGACAGTTTATTGCAGATGGGTTGATGCATGGACAGGTGGGTCGGGGGTGCATGTCAATGGACATGCATTCTACTCCAACCTCCCGATTTCGCGCAACCTTTTCAACA